CTCCTCGCAGCTTTGAGAGGCTTGCTGCCACCCCCGCCCTATCTTCCTTGTTGTCTTGCCCAGAGAGTGGTGGAGGGCAGTCCCCAGCTGCTGGGGCTGTAGGAGCCTGGGGCCTCGGCTCTCAATTTGCTGCTGTTTTGAGGGGCCGGCTCTGTGAGCCCTGCCAGCCTCCTGCTGAAGGTGCCGTCGGCTTAGGGTAGGGCCAGTCACCTGCCCTCCAGGCCAGGAAAGCAAGGGAGGCCCTGCCATGGTCCACTGCGCCCGCATTCTGTGGGGGTTATCTACAACCAGACCTGGGCCCGTCTGGCCACACCTTAGAAACTATTTATTCAGAGGCATGTCCCTGGGTCCCCCTGAAAAGCTCGTGGGGCTTGCGGTCCTGGAAGATATTTTTGGCTAGCTGCTTGAGCTGGTGTACAAAGGAGTGGGTGTTATTTTATTGCTGTAATATTGTATGATACTTCCACTGTATAATAATGTCATCTACTGTAAATGTACCATGGTTTTATTAACAATAAACACTCATTAGCAGTGACGTTGGCTTTGTGACCCCTGCTACGGGATGGCTCTGAGCTCAGAGCTGGGAGGTCTTGGGGCTGCCTGTCTGTGCTGTGACCACCCTTCCCTCCCCCTCCCAGGACCTGGCCTGAGTGGCCAGGAGCTTGAGCCCCCTCGATTTTCCCTCCTGTGATGTGGGCGGAACCTTCCCACCCACCCAGCCACTGGGCACAACCACCGTACAGAGACAGAGGGTGGTAGGTCTGGATTCGGACCTGGGTGCAGCTCTTTTAAAACACCCCCTTCCCGGGGTGGGCTGGTCATTCCCAAGGTCGGGTCAACCAGGGTGGCCAAGGTTGTGATGGGAAGCACAGAGACCACGGGAGGGCGGCCCACAGCACCCACCCCCACCTGTGCTCAGTGTCTGCCCTTGAAGCGGCCTCGGGTGTCTGTCCAGCCTCCCCACAAGCCCCCCAGCCCCGCAGAACACACACAGCTGGTCCTCAATTTGAAGCAAGGCCTGGTCACACGCCAGCTCTGGCCCACAAGAGGGGTGCAGTCGGTTCCTGTTAGGGGGTGGGTGGTGGGGGTGTGAACAGGATGTGTAGCGCCAGGCCCATGAGCCCTCGTGCGGTAGGAAGGCACTTGGAAATGCACATGCGACACTGACAAGAAGCACATCATGTTCCTCCAGGGGCTGGGACTGGAGTGGAGGTGGCCTCTGGAGGCTGGGCGCACTCCTCCTCCCCTCCCAGGAGCCTCCAGGTGCCGGGGCTGCATACAGCTCACACCCGACTGCACTCTGTCCTCACCAGAGGCCATGGTTCACGGAGCTGGTGTCTGGGCAGCATCTTCATGGCAGGCCCCTCCTGAGGCAGACTGTGCCAGAGGGCCCCAGGCCACCACCACCAGGCTGTCCCCGTGGGCTGTCTGGTCTCCTGATGCACCTCTGCCTGTCACCATTTCCTCCGGACCCCAGCCCCCACCCCACCACGGCAGGACCAGGGAAGCAGGAAGCCACAGGCTCCCACCACACCCCTCTGCAGGACCAGCTCAGATTCCAGGCCCCCTTCTCCTGTCCCCGGACTGAAACCCCCAGTCCAAGCTGGAGGCTCTGAGGCCTCAGACAACTGTGGTTCCCAAGTGACAGCCACGGATCTCCCCTACTGCCCCATGTCCCAACTCCTGGTCACTTGGGGCCAGATGAGGGGTGAGGGCAGGCACAGCCCGTGGGTCCGGGGGAGGGCAGCCACTCGGGAACCAGCCCGTCCAGCCTGTCAGCCCCTCTCCCGCTGACAGCCATCACCACCCATGATAATTCCTGCCGAGAGCACCATGCCTTCCAGATGTCACGGTCTGGGGCCCAGATGGTGAGGCTGTGGGAGGCAGGGCTCACAGGTCTGAAGGAAAACTCAAGGTCACAACCACAAGGCACAGGCCTGACAGCATACTCTACCAGCAAGGGCCCTGGCGGGACATGGCCATCACTGGGAGACCAGGCCTGATCCGGCCAGGCTCTCCATCCAGGCAGGACTCTTCCCACTGACCACAGCTCCAGACATGCCAGAGCTTGGTGCTCCCATCAGTCCTGCAAGTGTCCCAAAGCCTGACGCATGGTGGCCACGGCAGGCGGGGCAGCCTCCACAAACTCTGCACCTGGATGCAGATCACAGCCGGCTGCAAGAGCTCTGGGGCCAGACACTGCCTCGCCATGGGAGAGGCATCTGGACAACCCCCAGAATACCGCATGGTCTTGACCACCCAAGATGTGGACTAGCTTGTGGCCACACTCCCCTGGGAAAGGCTGTGGCCTCACGCCTTGGGCAAGCTCTCCCAGACCCAGCAGAAGGCCAAAGGCAGGCGCTGCCAGTCCCGGCACGCGGGCCTACAGGGTCCCACAGCACACCCAGTCCCAGGGAGGCCCGGCGGCCATGCAGCGCCTCAGGTCCAGATGCACCCCGTCCCTCCCTGTTAGCCCGTGAGATGTCCATGAGCCGATGACAGATCAGGGTTGTGGAGAGGCATGGCATGGATGCCATGAAAACAAGACCACAGAATGTGACGCCACGAGCCACAGGAAGCGGCGCCCGCTGGAGACGAGCACAGCACTCTCAGCCCCGCCACTGCCAGGCCTGCCCCTGCCCTTGCCCCTGAGCAACACCCCCAAAGTGGGCTGGCAGTCAAGGTCCACTGAGGACAAGGAGACAACTTCCACACGCGCGAAGTCCAGGGCCCCGCAGGCACCATCTTTAGGGTGTTATTTATTACCAAAAGGCTCTCCCCTCACCTCTCCACTGCTAGCCAAGGCCCTGCTGCACCCTTCCCGCTGCAGGACACAGCCGGCCCTGAGGATCCAGCTGAAGGCTCGGCTTCTCTGGGGCCCTGAGGGGCCAGGACTGCAGGGCCAGGCGTGGGGGGGCCCTACCGTCTGACTGCAAGCTCCTGCTCCAGGCCCAGGCGCCAGAACACCCATGGGACGAGCCGGCCCAGCAGAAGGCCATATCCCAGGGCCTGGCTCCCACGCACACAGAACTGTGACCTCACGGGCCAAGGGGGCCAGTGGTGCCTGAGGCCACTCTGCACTGAGTTCTAAGCAGGTCGTGTGGGATGACTGTCGGCCAGGGGACCCAGGCTGAAGTCCCACCAACTCTGGGTCTGTGGGGCCCTGCCACCATGACAGTCCAGCTGCCCAGCCCGCAGCAGGCAGGAAAGCTGTCTCCTCACAGGAGGGCCACGACCCCACTACTTCTTCCGCTTCAGCTTTGCGTCTTTTTTGCTCTTCGCATCTCTGCTCCTCTTCACCTTCTTGCGCTGCTTGGGGTCCTGCTTGGCTTCCAACGTCCTTTTCTTGTCGCTAGACGAGAAAGTCAGGAGTGGAAGAGTCAACCACACAGAGCCACCCCTCCCCAGCGGTGCCCACCCTACCTGGGCCTTCACCCCTGAGCCGGGTGCTCTGCAGGGCACTACATTTGCCCCCAAGACCTCGAGAGACCAGCGGTGGTAAGATGTCCCTCCTACCTCCCTCATCACAAGCGACCCCAGATATCAAATGCATCATCCCAGGGACCCCCGAGACTGTCCTGACGCCAAATGTGAGTCTCAAGGAAAGCCTGCAGTTCCTGTTCCAGAATGAGCAAGAGACCCACCATGGCTTGGTCATGCCCTGAAGCCACGGGCTCCTCCCTGACAGACCAGAGGGGATCCCTTGGCCACGCCGCCTTCCTCTGGAAGCCCACCCAGGTTAAGCTCTACCCACAAGGCAGGTGGGAGCAGCCCACAGTCTACACAGCGGGCAGGATGTGTAGAAACAGCAGGCTCTCCTCACGAAACTGACAGCAGAGTGACTTTCACAACAAAAAACCATAACGAGCCAATTACTGTTCGCCGTGAATCACTACGCATTTTAAAAATTCCTCCATCTTCACTTCCGCTGAGGGGCAATTCGATGGGAATAACCAACGCACACTAAAGTCTCAGGAGACGCGAGTGATTTTTAAGCTGTGTGGGAGCTCTGAGGCCCACACCTCCAAGACCCACTGGCTCAGGGGAAGGACTGTGAGCGGCGGTGGCCACAGGCGGGTCTGTCTCTGGACTGGCTTGCGCCAGCTGGGTGCTTCCTGGGGCCGCGACCCCTTAGACCTTGGCCACCTCACTAACAGCCACAGTGGGACGACAGCTCTCAGGTGCCGTCCTGGGCGCAGACCCACACGTGCACCCAGGCCCACCGAGCGTGGCCATCCATGGCAGCTACCAGACAGGCCCAGGCAGGGATCCCGCCTGGCCCACAGGTGACGCGCCACAAAAGGACGTGACCAGGACCCTGTTGGAGCAAGACTCCACTGCCACAAGCCCCTGCGGCCGGGGCACACAGGCCAGTCTTGGGCCTCACCTCTTCAGACTGATGACGGAGGCGTTCTGCCCAGCTCGGCTCAGAACCTCGTCCCACTCGTCGTCATCCCCGCGGATCGCGTACCTGGAGGGGCAAACACGCGTCAGCGCCTCCTTGCAGCCGAGGGACTGCTGGGAGAAAACGCTTCCTGACAACAGCCGGGCCGATCTGTGTCAGGGGAACACAGGCTCCAAGGAGCGGGGCACCATGCCTGCTGGCCGCCAGCGAGGACCGGCCTGCCCGGCCTCCCATGTGATTCCTGTCACCCACTCCTGCTGCAGGCACTGCCCACGAGCCATGACCTGTGCACCTCTCTCCTGCCCAGCCTGCTCACACTAAGTTCTGGCAAGTCTAGGGTTTTTTTGAGTTGTGGGCTCACTGTCCCCAGGCTGGAGCATAGCCTCGACCTCCTGGGCTCAGGCGATCCTCCTGCCTAGCTGCCGAGCAACTGGGGCTACAGACATGCGCCACCAAGCTCGGCTAGTTTTTATTTTTATTGCAGAGATGAAGTCTGGCTATGTGGTTGGTCTCGAGCTCCTGGCCTCAGCAATCCTTCCACCTCAGCTTCCCAAAGTGCTGAATTACAGGCACGAGCCACCATGCCTGGCCCAAGTCAAGGTTTTGACACTGCAAAGGTAGAGCTGACCCCTGACCAGGGATCCTGCCACCTCCATCCCATGTGCAGAACAGCTCCAAAACTTGTGACCTGGTCACGGGACTGCAGGTCACAGCGGCTCAGGGGCCACATTAATGAGGGGGAACCACAGCTGAAGCTCCAGGGAGCAAGGACTCAAGAGCGCAGGGGTGTGTGCCTGTTTGTTTTAGGCAAGAGAACCTGTTCTTCAAAGTCACATGCAAAAACCCGACACAGTCAAGCAATCAAGTCCACACTCCTCTGGTCGCCCCCGCTCCTGGAAGGACCTGGGCAGTGGACACAGAGCTCCAGGGTCCACAGAGCTCGGTTTGAAAGTCGAGGAGGCAGCAGGACCCAGACAGCCAGTGAGGAGGCCGGCAGGGAGGGAGAAGTGCCCGGACAGCCCCAGGTCTAGGAGGGCAAGTCCCAGGAGATGTGCGGAGGCAGACAGGTGGGGTCCGACACCTGGCGCCGAGCGGGCCTTACTGAGCAAGGTCCAGGTCCTGCAGTCTGCTCACTTCCCTCTTGTGCCGCTCCTGAAACTCCTTGGCGGCTTCATCCTGCAGTCAAGCACCATGGAGGCCCGGGGGCGGGAGGCAAATGGAAAACAGTGAGGGGACCCCGCGGAGAGGGCCTCTGCCTCCCTCCAGCTTGCTCCCAACCCGCCCTCACTACCTCGGCACACTCATGGGGCGCAACACACTTTCATAAGGTCATCCAAGGAGAAACACGACCCCTACAACCACAGATGCCCGGTTCCGGCAGCGCACGCGCACACGCACACGCACACATACGTGCACAAATACAGTGGGAGACCTGCTGCGGCCGTGAGCAACGCGCCAGGCAGGGCCACAGAGCGCAGAACCTGGGCAGCCCATGGTGTGCCCCCACTGTGAACCCCAGGACGCAGCCAGGTGGAGGCTGCCTCCAAGCAGGAGCCTGCTCTGTGCTCCAGTCAGTGGGGGGCCAGGGAGGGGCCGGCATGGGGACTCCCAGGCCCGCAGCAGGGACCCACCAGGTCGTCACTCAGGGTTTTCAGCGCGGGCTCCATGGCCACCTCCCTCACGGCTGCCATCTGCTCCTCGACAGCCCGCTCCTGGACCTCGCTGAACAGCTATAAAGACAAGGCGGAGGGTGACCGAGCTGCAGGGCTGCCTCTCGCGACCATGTGCTGAGTCAGAGACCAATATCACAAGGGTGTGACAAGGCCAAGGGGACAGCCAACACCCAAGTGGCGCCTGGAGACACAGGACTTCTCAGAGACCTATCGCCCTGAAGTGTGTGTGTGCGCGTGCACTATATGATTCAAGTCCTTGGAGGGTGTCTGTCTGTGTGGACGGGAGGGCCACGCCCCACCACCCAGGTCAGGCAGGCCTGGTTACCTTCACGACCTTGCGGATGACGCGGTTGAACAGCCCCATCAGCTGGCCTGAGGGCAGCTCGATCTCCGTCTCCAGCTGGTCCACCGACTTGTGCTGCAGGCCGATGCCCAAGAGCAGAGCCTGAGGACAGAAGATCTGCTGGTGGCGCCTAGGACAGGCCTTCCCCAGGAGACCCAGCCGCTCTCATGAACCAGCCGCTCTCATGAACCAGCCGCTGGGTGCAGTGGCAGACGGCACCTGCCCTTCAGCCCCCAGAGACATGCCCTCCTGACATCCCTGACAGGCCATCCTGACAAACACCTGCTCCCCGCGACAACACAAGTCTGCGCTTTCCTGAACCTCTGTGAGGCAAAGCTGACATCAAGGCTGGGGTGGGCAGAAGACGGGTAGCCACGCCCCACAGCCTGCTCTGACCCGCTGTGGCAGGGCCCTTACCTGGCACCCTACAGGACAAGGAGGCCGCTGCCCACCTGTCAGACCTGCCAGGAGGGCACAGAATGCCACCGAACACCCCGCCCGCGCCCACCCCAGCAGCCCAGGGCTCTTCCCGCACACGGGCTGGGCCACCTACTGACTGGGCGGCTGATAGGGCCAGGTCCCCCAGCTGGTGAAGGAAGTACATGCGGGCAATGGCCGGAACCAAGTCCATGACAAGATGGTAGTCCACCATGTTCCGTGAGTACATCTCTAGGCGCTTCAGGTCGTAGGGCAGGAAGAGGGCATCCAGCTCTGCCCGGGTCAGGGCTGTCCGAGACAGAATCCGACAAGCCAGGTCAGCCTGGTGCCCTGGGGGGCTCTTGTGATGGACACACAGCACACATAATGGCCTGGGAGAGCGCCTGCACAAGGCACCAGACAAGCCTGGCCCTGACTGACGCAGTCCTGCCTGCACCCATCACCCCGTGCCTACACAAGGGGCAGCTCCAAGCCATGGGGCGAGGCAGCTGGTATATGACCAGGGCTCAGAAGCCCCCCAACACCTGGGACCAAGGACAGGCTGGTGCCCCACGCTGGGGGAGCACAACACCCTTTCTGCCGCATTACGTCCTCAGCCTCACAGGAAGCAGGTTGGTTCTTCCAGCTCAAGGAACAGATTTCAACATCAGAACATAATTGGTACCAGGCGCAGTGGCTCACACTGAACTTTGGGAGGCCGAGACAAGAAGACTGCTTGAGTCCTGGAATTTTTGAGACCAGCCTAGGCAACTAGGTGAGAATTTCGTCTCTACAGTAAGTCAAAAAATTAGCCAGGTGTGGTGGTGAGTGCCTATAGTTCTGGCTACTTGGAAGGCTGAGGCAGAAGGATCGCCTGAGCCCAACAGGTCGAGGCTGCAGTGGCCATGGGCATGCCACTGCACTCCAGCCTGGATGACAGAGTGAGACTCCTACTCAAAATAAAACAAAACTGGCCAAAAAACGGACACACGCTCATGCATGCACAAATGCGTGTATATACACACACTTATGTGTGCAACAGGCAACAAAAACTCCCAGCTGTTACCTCTCACAATCCCTCACATTTTTTTTTAATATTTTAAATTTTTAAAAATTTTTTTGCATTTTAAATATCCAGGCAGAATTTACGTGCCCAGAACACTGGACGTGTTGCTGGACAGAGGGCAGGTAGTGCATTCTCATTAGACATTGCAAGGGAGGAAACGCAGCCTTTAAGGCCAAGTGTGTCCCTCCTGCAGGGTCCCAGGGTCTAGGTGGGGTTCCCCAAGAAGCTGCAGGAACAACTCAGACACCTCTGAGGTCAAGTTACGCCTCCAGAGTCTGGTGCAAAAAGGAATGCCAGCCTGGCACACAGCAGGACACGGCCAAGCCTCCAGCCCCACTGCCTGCCGCACCCCTGCCCACTCACCTGGCTGCGCTGGCCTCCCGGTGCTCCTGTTCTGGATGACGTTCAGGGCCAGGGCAGGGGAGAATGAGCGGAACTGGAAGGACAGCAGAGCCAGGAAGCGCCGCCGGAAGTCTGCGGGAGCTCGCGGAGTGAGAGGCCTGGGCTCTGGCCTATGCCTCACAGCCACACCCCCTCCCGCTCCCCTGTACCTTTCCAGAAGGCCGCCAGCCAGGCTCCCTGGTCAGCCGCGTCCCCGTCAGCCAGGGTCTTCAGCATGACACACGAGTGCTCTCCGGTCAGGTCGTTCTGGGAACATGTGCTCAGCTGGTACCGGGCAGCCCCTCTGTGGACACGCCCACACAAGTCTGCAGCCGCACAGCCCTTCCCCAGCCGCTGGACAGAGGGGCCGCCTCGGCCCTCGAGTCCCCCAGGCCCTGCTGCCTGTGCCTTCCAAGTCACACTGGGACATAGGGCAGCTGATTCTGACCCTGCCACACACCCCACCCCACGTCCTGGCCTGGCAGCACAGCCCCAGCTTCTTCTGAGCCAAGACGGTGACACTGAGGCCACAAGCTTCTATGCTTTCACCACATAACAAAGCCTACATCATCAAGGCTGTGGGCCCAGAGAGCGAACACAGCCCCAGCCCTATGCCGTGGGCTGCACTGGACTTCCTAGGCTGCACTCCCCGTCATGGACGGCCAAATTTACGGCCTGGCCTTGATCCAAAGCACTGAGGACCAACTTGCCACCCCTGATGCTTCCTGCCCACATGGAGGCCACCATGCCATGGCCCCCCAGTCCCACCGTCTTGCAGGCACGGGACACTGCCTCGGATGCTGGCTTTCTGCACTATCCTCCACTCCTGGGAAACAGAGGCCCTGGAGGGCATCCCCACCCTCAACACTACCTTCTGTACCCAACCGGCGCTGCAGTGAGGGAGAGGCTTCTCTGCAAAGCCCAGGCCCCTCCCTCAGGCCTGCACTCCAGCCCTCAGCCTCACAGTCCACCGCACGCCGTACCATCCTGCCCCACACACAAGCAACTGCCCAGCCCCCGAGTCTCTCAACCCGGCTTCAAGGACCTCTGTCCACACTGCACATCCTCACCCCCACCGCTCCATCCCCAATCCTCCCCAACCCTCTCCAGCCCCCCACCCCACCCATCCAACTCGTAACACAGGCCTCATCATTCGGGCCTGCACCACCGACCTCTCCTAACCCCCGGCTTCCTGGCTCACAGGACACGTCCGTGCCCGCCCGTCCTGCCCCCATGCTCCTCAACCAAGCAGGCCCCAGCAGCAGAAGAGTGCAGGGAAGAGAGCATGCGGGCCTCCAAGGGTGAGGTGGCGGTGTCTGTCCAAACACACCTCCCCAGAGGCTCAGGATGCCTGCTCGGGGCACAGCAGTGGGAGGCACCAGGCTGTGTGAGGACAGGTCTGCCACCGGGAGCAATGGAAACCGGAGCACCCCCCCACCGACGGCCTCGCTCACCGGTGTCTGTCTCAGGTACACAGGAACAAAGCCAGCCCGTTTCCAGAACCTGCAGAGACGCAGGGGGCAGGTGTCTGTGCGAGCCCTCGGGTGCGGATGGGCAGGGCGGGCAGGGAACAGGGCTTACTTGAGCAGCCTGGGCGTCAGGCCGTAGCACACGCCGAGGTAGTCCAGGTGCTCAGCCGGCCTCTCACCCAGCTTGAGGAGCAAGGGGGGCAGGTCCCGGCGGGGAGTGATGGCCTCTTCCAACAGGCTGACGGCCTGCGGGACAGCGGGAGGACAGGCGCCCAGTGGGGGCTGGTCAGGGACCCTGCAGCAGGTTCCGCCCCCGCCGTGTCGGGTACCGCCAAGCCAGCCACACGCCACACCAGGCTCTGCACTAAACAAGGCTGGAGCGTGTCTCAGTGTTCAGAACGGGAACGCTGCGGCATCAAGGGCCGTTCCCGTGGCAATGCATTCTTATTGGCCCCCACGAGGGAGGAAACGCCCCACACGCATGCCCTGAATGCCGCAGCCCAGTCCAGGAGGCCACAGAGAGAGGAGCCACGTGAAGTCCGGGTTGTGTGACTGGACAGCTCCAGGAAGGGCAAGCCTCTGAGCGTGAACTTAAATGGAAATCACTCCTGTGGGCCGCCTATGGGCCTCCCGCGACAGCCGTGCAGGTGGGAGGCCATCGCAGCAGCAGCCCCACCTGTCTGGCTCGACGGAGGGACGAGCGAGCAGTGGTCCCAAGCTCAGCCTGCCGCACAAGTGCCGGGGGACCCCAGATTAGCAGGCCCCGCCCGGAGTCTCCGGCCCAGCACTCGAAGCAGGCTCAAGAATGTGCACATTTAGGCTGGGCTCATGCCTGCAGTCCCAGCACTTAGAGAGGCTGAGGCAGGAAGATCGCTAAAGTTCAGGAATCTGAGACCAGCCCGGGCAACATAGCAAGATCCTATCTCTATAAGGAAAAAAAAAAAATCAAAAAATGAGCCGAGCATCGTGGTGTACACCGATAGTCCCGGTTTCTTGGGAGGCCAACATGGGAGGCCTCCTGAGCCCCAAGGTCACGGCTGTGGTAAGCCGTGACTGTGCCACTGCCCTCCAGCCTGGGCAACAGAGAGAGAGGCCGACTCAAAGAACCATGTGGAACGAGCTTCCAGCGCTGCAGTTCACCTGAGGACCTCAAGCATCTGGCTGGAGGAGACAGGTCTCCCTGGGCCTCCCCGGGACCCAGAGAAGTGCCCTCCCAGATTCAGACAGCCACAGTGGCCCGAGGCCCGAGGCCACTCACCTCGCCACTCACGGTGTGAATCTCCGGTGCCGGCTCGAGGGCCTTCTCCTCTAGACACGGGAATCTGCCCTCGAAGTACATCTGCAGCAGCTGCAGGGCTCGGCTGCCATAGCCCATCTGGAGCAGGGGGAGACAGGCAGGGTCAGCCAGCCTGTGCTGCCTGGGGCTCAGGGCCAGCCGGAGCTCAGGGAACGTGGTGAGAGCCAGGAACCACTCCCCGAGGTCCAAGCTGACGCGGAGACCAACGGCAGCGTGGCCCGAGCCCTCCCACGAGCCCGGCTCACCCAGGGCAAGGACACGGCTGACCTTGCCTCCAGACCCGCAGCCCACAGAGCCTGCCGCCCCCCAGTGCCCCGGAAGGACATGTCCACAGCTCACTCCTTGATGGGATTGTCTAGACACAGAAGGGACTGTGAAAGCAGACCCGAGCCTAGTATCCTCACCACCACAAGGGAAGCCAGCAGGCAACGCCGTCTCCCGTCCACCCGCGCACCCAGTGCCCGGGCTGCACTCGCCAGAGCAGGGGCGGGCCTACTACCTGACCAGTTTCCATACCAGCTTCTTTTTGTTTCTTTGAATTGGAGTCTCTCCCTGCCACCCAGGTTGGAGTGCGGTGGCACAATCACAGCTCACCACAGCCTCAACCGTCTGGGCTCAGGCAATCCTCCTGCCTCAGCCTCCCGAGTAACTGGGACAACAGGTGCATACCAGCACGCCAGGACAATGTTTTTATATTTTCAAGAGACAAGGTCTTGTCATATTGCCCACGCTGGCCTCAAACTCCTGGATTCAGGCCATCCTCCTGCTTCAGCCTCCCAAAGTGCTGGGCTTACAGTGTGAGGCATCACACCCGGCCTTAACCAGCTTCTTATTCCACAACCAAATGCACCAGCCTAGAGAGCTTCCAGCAACATGGCTGCAGCCCCAATGGCACCCGCGTCCCAAGGCCCGCAGACCGATAGTTACCCCTTGGTAATCCGGGTGGACAGCAATGCGCACAACCCTCCCACCAGAGAGGCCGCCAAAGTCTGGATCCTGGAACTGTGGAGACACAAGCCGGTGATTCAGTCACGCCAGCACCCTCAACACACGCCATGCTCCACACTGCCGGGTGCGCCCTCGCATGCAGGGCAAGCCGTCACCTGCTCCGACACCGTCCATGGAATCAGGTCTCCTGAAGCCTTCTTGCCCCGGGACAGGCTGTTCAAGATGGACTGGCGGGAAAGTTCCCCCTCCAGGCACACCTGTGGGGAAGCGGCGGCGGGGACAAAAGCCCCTGCAGCGTCACAGCAGAACACGGGCTGCTGTCGTCAGCCAGGCCAACCACTCCAGCCGCATTTGGGCTCCTGAAGCCCTGGGTTCCCAGGTAGACAGCGGGCATCCTCCTGACCACCAAGAAGACGGCACAACGGGAGGGGGCAGCATGCGTGCTGTGCATGTGGGACACCAGTCGGGACAAAGCTGCCATGTGGCTCTGTGCAGGGCAGTGCGAGCTCGCACTCAAGGGTCTCACAGGTGCATGCTGAGACTGTGAGGACACGTGCACAACGTGTGGACACACCTGTGTGTGCTCTGACCCACGAGGGCACGTGAACAAATCATGTGGACCAGGGGTCTGACCTACCCCCGCCACAGAAGCGGAAGGGGCACATCCAGACCCCACATGGATGAAAAGGAAAGATGGCACACGCCAGGTGGATAAAGTCTCTCCCGTGTTGGCTTCAACGTGCTTTGAAATCAGGACAGGCAGCACACAGGCTGAAGAGCCACGTGGCGGGAGCTGCAGGTACCAGGGGCTGACCCTGCCCCTCGACCTGTGCCGGGATTCCGGCCTCCACCTTGGCCGCCCCAGCCATGTGGCTCCAGCCAGGGTACCACGGTGCCCCTCCCTGCACGCCGCAACGTGTCCACCCTGCCCGCCACGGGGAGGCTTCTGCTCACACCTGGACGACAGCCAGCACCTCGGGAAGTGCGTTCTGGGTGGGCGGCACAGGGGGCAGCAGGCAGAAGAGGTGGTGGGCAGGGGCATCGGAGAGCATCTGGAGGTCGTTGGGAGAGTTCTATGGGGACACGCAAGGGTCAGTGAGAAGCCCCCCACCCCACTCGAGCCCAATCCAGGTGCCGGGTGGCTGGAGGCCTGCCCCCCAGGCCAAGCACAAAGCACCTCCCAGTACCCAGCAGGCCTGAGCGCCTTCGTCAGGGCGCGGCAGGACTCAGCCTTGAAGGCCACAGACAGCTTCGTCACAGCAGGGAATGGGCTTGTTCTAGACAGAAGGGTTGCTTCAGGAGCTGCTGTCACCACTTTGAATGTCGAGTCTCCAGCCTCTGGTAAAGGCCAGTCATAACAACGCCACCAGGAGCATCCACAAGGTCTCCTTTCCAGCCCACCCTGCCGTCTAAGACTGCAGCTATCCTGAACCCGTGGACATGCCACTTGCTAGAAACAGCCATGAGGTACAAAGCTGGTCTCATGCCCCGGCTGATGAGACACACAAGGACCCTCAAGAAACGAGCCACTGTTGCCCTCTTGACCTCGGGGGCTGCGTGCCCAATCCCTCTCTGCATGAGGGGACATGTGGGAACAAACATGGCACAGCGGGACACTCGGCACCAGAGCTACCCGGGAACAGGAAAGGCAAAGCCTCGTAAAGGGCCGGCCAGGCGCTGAGATCCCTGGGAGTCCACCAGGGCTGGTGCAGCTACCTTGTAGTGAGAAGCCACGTAGAGGGCCATGAGGCGCTGGAGGAACACCTCGGAGGCCTTGTGGTAGCAGAAAAGGGTGTCTCTGTGAACGTAGTAGCTGCGTCTGGAGTTAAGGGACAAGCCCAACTGAGAGAGCCTGACACAGCACGCATGCCACTCCGGAAGGCAGGTAAGCCTCCCTGGTTGGAGAAGGGGGAGGAGTCCCCGACAGAAACAAACAAGGGGAGGGAGAAGAGAACAGGACCCCGAGATGATGCGCGTTCCGTTCCCTGCCCCTAAGCTTCTCATCCCTCCGCCCGCAGGCACCGCAGCTCGGAGGATACAGCTCACAGGCCTCAGGCAGGGGGCAGCCTGAGACCATCCGGGTGATGCTGAGGCAGTCCAGGCACAGTAGGTCGTTGAGCCACTGCTCCACGGCGTCCCCGGTGGCGTAGCGGATGGACTCCTGCAGGGAGACCTCGTGCAGCGTGCGCACTGGCCCCGCAATCACACACACACACAAGGCAAGGCACAGAGTGAACAAACACATGTTGTCCGGAAGGGCAAGAGGAACGCTGCCCTCACGGCTGTCGTGCTGTCATGTGTCGGAGGCACACGGCCCCAGAGGGGAAGCGGGTACAGTGACAGCAGCTTGCTGACGCCGGCGCCGAAGGCTGTCCCAAGGCGGTGCAGCCCTGCCCCAAGCCAGGGACAAGCCAGGACCCAGCCCCAAAGGCCCACTCCAGGCCCCATCAGCCATCAGACCACGCTCCTTGGGGAAAAGCCACCCCCTCTCAGAGATGCAGTCTTTCAGCCTGACGAGGAAGGGCTACGCTGCCGTGGCGTGACGGGGGAAGCCGAGGGACCAGCTGTGTCCGGTTCTGAGTACCTGATGCCAGCCGGGCCGTCATCGTGGCCTTGTTCTCTGCAGTGGTGCTGGCCTGGCTCTGGGCACTCTGTTGACGGAGCTGCTGGATGAGCTTGAGGGACAGTGACCGGCCAGTGCCCTCGTAGCTGGGAGCAAAGGCAGAGGCATGAGTTTCCACCCACACTCCTGCAGGGGACAGGCCCTCCCCCTGCCTGCAGAAACACCTGGCCCCGCTCCTGTGCAGTCCAGCGCCGCCTGTCGCCACCCGCATGCAGCCAGGCATGGGCCTCCTTGGAGGGAGATCCTCCCACACACGTTACAGATGGTGATGTGAACCAAAAGCGTAAGGGCTGAACACAGAGCCAGCGAAGCCTTGAGCACAGGCACACTGGCCAGCTGAGTGAAACGCAACAGGTATACGGTCGACTGACAGGAGCTGGCTTTAAAGGAACACAAAGAGATGAACCAGGGAAACTTTCAGCTTGGAAGATCCAGATAGAAAAACTGACCACTTGCCAGGCTCGGTGGCTGAGCCTGTAATCCCGCGCCTTTGGGAGGCTGAGGTGAGTGGATTGCCTGAGCCCGTGGGTTCAAGATCCGCCTGGG